CAAAATTAAGCTCCTATTTATAAGAAAACAAGGATGCACATATCATTAATGTCAATGTATTGAATATATACATTGAATAGGGAGATGGGCATTCATACGTAGAATGTAGGTTACGAATGTGCCATAATAGGTATATTGAATATTCATTCATGTATGTAGGTTACGAATGTGCTATAATAGGTACATTAAATATAATGAATATTCATTCATGTATTTCATAACACTCCCCCTTGAATATTCATTGTATTCATGAATGTGCATTGAATGATACTGCCTCATTAAAAACTTTAAGCCGGAAAAACCCAGTGGAACAAATTGTACATGACTCGATTTAGTATCAGTCATGGGTCGTACAGGCGAATTTCCCAAAAGCCACCCGTTAGTCTGAGAAACGCTCGAGTTACGTTATGAATATATAATTGGAATATTGAGTAGAGACCAAACCGAGCGTCAGAAAATTCGGAAAGTCACGGCAGGGCCTTTGGACGACGTTGTAATTGGAACGTACATCTCTGGATTTCTTCGGATATTTCAGAAAAGTTCGATTTCGGCGAGAAACGGAGAAAGTGACCATTTTACTCTTGGAATTTCTTAAAGGGTTAGTTTTAAAGGGCAAGGGCATTTTGGTAATTTTGCCCTAAAAGTTGGAAAAGACAATTTTGCCCTTGGACTTTTTGAGAAATTACAAGTATACCCTTGGATATTTTTGGTAAGATTCGATCTGGGTCGTTGATTTCAAGATTGGATCGAATCTGGACCGTTGGATTAAAAAGATTAGACGAAGGCATTTTGGTCATTTGTCGTTTTGGTCAAATTTGGTCCAAGTTTACCCCCTCTCTCTCTCTCCTCTCCCCTCCCCCATTCGGTCCCCCTCTCTCTCCCGTGAAATCCCCTCCACCGCGAGCCCCTCTCCCCCGCCGATCGCCTCCCCTTGGCCGCCCGGATCGCCGTCGCCGCCGCGCCACGCCGTCGTCCGTACGCCCGCCGGCCACCATCTCGCCGATCCGCCGCCCTTTTTCTCTCCCCTCTCCCTCTCGGTCTCCCCTTGGCCGTGAGCCCCACTAGCCACCGCTCAAGCCGCGCTATCGCCGCCCAAGCCGATCGCCGCCCGCCGGGAGCCGTACACCGTCGCCGCCGTTCCCAATTAAGTGCCGCCGCTTTCCGTTCTAGCCACGATAGTCTAGAACGCAAGTAAGTCGCGCTCTAAACCCAATTTAGGACTTCGTGTATCGACGGATGATTTTTGGGCGAAATCGGGTTTAAATTTAGTGCGATTTTGCATGATTTAGGAGTGGAATTAGGTGGCGGGCCTTAGGATGGAATTCGGACAATTTTTATTGGAAATTGGAGGATAACAGTGAGCTGTGGAATACTGTTCACGAGGCTGTGATGGGCTGATCGGGACGCAAGTTGGATTTATAAAACCGAGAATTAATGGCGAGAAAGTCTCGTGAAAAACCTGAGTCGATTTGAGGCCATTTGGTTAGAGAAAAATAACGATTTCTGTGTTTTACGTGCGTTTGAAATATAATTAGGTTGTGGTGGTGAAATTGAATGTGTGATTGTGCAATTGATTGATTTAATTATGTCTGTTGGGTGCACGCTTGGGCCAGATTGTTTTAATTATTAAAATTGGCCGTGTTGACTGCTGAGTGAGCATGGTTTGTGTATAATTATTGCGTGCACAGGTCACGTGTGATTGACCAGTTAAGTGGCAAATGATTGTTGCACGTGTGAAAGAACGAGAAATAGTGCGTGGTACGTTATGTGAGATCGTGGGAATTGTGCCATCCTGAGGCGTGCACGTTTACGCGGAACGATGCCCGGTATTATCGGAAGACTACCAGCCTGAGGCGTGTACTTTAACGCGGGTTGCGTAGTAGGTGGTAGGTGTTGAGCCTGAGGCGTGTACGTTTACGCGGGCAAGAAACATGGCCTGAGGCGTGTACGTTTACGCGGGCCCGGAAGTGTTGTGGAAAGAGATCGCAGTGTACCTGAGGCGTGTACTGTAACGCGGGTCACTGGCGAGGCATGTGGAAACGAGATAGTGAGAACGGAACAAGTGCATGACACGAGAATTGTGCATGATTGTGGTTGTATGTGATGTGCTTGCTTTGTGATAATGGTGCGTGTGATTGTGTTTGTGAAATTGTCTGGAGGTACGTGATAGCCTAGGTGGGGTTTAGGGGTGAACTTGCTGAGAAGTGTTCTCATGGTTGTTTCAACCAATATTTTCAGAACCCCGACCTGAGCCATGAACCCACCGCCACCGCCACCAGAACGTTTTGGGGTACCAGTGCACACACAAAATGAAGTTACAGAGTTTCCGATGGGTGATGGAATGACCTGGATTAAGCATACCACGACCGTTTTCGTAGAAGTAGGATTACCTCTTTGGGAGACCCACGTTTATACTGCCTGGTTCTTCCGGGATGCGGACGGGGCTGAGTTCGGGCCCGTTAGAGGATTTGATGTTCCGTTTGATCTAGTTGGGGATTGGGACCCAACTACCGTACCCCCGATTGATGGAGAACTGACCAATACTGAGGTTAGCTTAGCGCAATCTGGGATGCATTCAGCACCCGCCGCACAAGGATCTTCAGAGGCTGAGCATGAACCTGAGCCTGAAGCATCGCAAGCTGAGAATGATCCAATGGACATAGACTTAGAACTAATCCCCGAAGAGGAACCAGAGGAGGAGGAACCAGAAGAGGTGGAGCCCGAGGTAGAGCCTGATGACGAGTCTGAGGAGTCGGAAGATCCTGTAGGAGAACCAGAATATGTACTCCCATATGAACAGTATATGGATCCCAATTTCGTGCCGGAGTACAATTTCTTTAATTTTCTAGCCGAGGAGTACCAGAACGCTATTCCAGCTGAGTCGGGTGACATTGATCATCCTATTGTGATTGAGGCGGAGCCGGAGTCTTCGGAGGAGCAAACGGATCAGGGGAGTTCAGACTCTGGTGATGATGAGTCAGATTCTGAATGGACGCCGAGTAAGGGGCGTAGAGACTAGTGTTGGGGGTTCAGAGTAGATTTTAGGAAAGTACCATTTTTTAGGTCTGGATGCCAGGTTACCGATCTTTTTGTATATCGGTAGTTTGTAATACGATATGCAAGGGTTTATGGTGGCTGTAAATTACGGTGGTTGTAAGTGCTGTGAATGTTGTATAAGGTTGTTAATGAAAATGTCAATGTATATTTTTCCTGAATGTTTCCCCAATTTTAAATTGTCCGGGATTAATTGTGGTTTCCGCCGTTGCATTAAACCTCTGATGATTGTAATTGAGGTCGGCGATAACCCTGGGATGTCACATAAATCGACCAGTGGCGGATGTTGCGAGCTCGAAAGGGTTCGGGGCGTGACAACCTTAACTGGTTTTTGCTTCGCAGCCATGTCAATTTTAGGTGTCCCAATCGATGGAAACATAGTCTCATTGAAATGACAATCTGCGAATCTGGCAGTAAAAAGATCACTAGTAGTCGGTTCCAAGAACCTAATGATGGACGGTGAATTAAACCCAACAAAAATGCCTAAACGGCGTTAGGGACCCATTTTCGTTCTTTTTGGTGGTGCTATAGGCACTTGTACTGCACAACCAAAGGTGCGTAAATGTGAAATATCAGGTTCATAACCAAGAACCATTTGAAGGAGAGATTGTAAGAGACTAGTAGTGGGGTGCAATCTTATTAGGGCTGCCGCATGCAAAACTGCATGACCCCATGCTGTATCGTTGAGATTTGTTCTCAATAATAGAGTGCGGGCAATTATTTGGATATGTTTAATCAAGGATTCTGCCAATCCATTTTGAGTATGAACATATGCGATCGGGTGCTCAACCTCGATTCCGAGTGAAGCACAATACGTATCAAAACTCTTTGATGTAAATTCACCAGCATTATCCATCCTTATGCCTTTAATTGGATAATCAGGGAATTGTGCCCGGAGCTTTATAATATGCGCAAGTAAACGTGCAAAGGTGACATTGCGCGTAGATAATAGACAAACATGGGATCATCTACAGGATGCGTCCACTAGTACCATAAAATATCTAAATGGTCCACTTGGTGGTTGTATTGATCCACAAATATCGCCCTGAATTCTTTGCAGGAATAAAGGGGATTCAAGATCAACCTTTGTTATAGAAGGTTTGATAATGAGTTTTACTTGTGAACAAGCTTCACAATTATAATCTTTGGACAACAATACCTTTGTGTCCTTTAAAGGGTGCCCTTTTGTATTCTGGATTATTCTACGCATCATTGAAGCGCCAGGGTGACCAAGGCGATCATGCCATAATCCAAACTGATCAGGGTTTACCAATCTCCAGGATATGGTGGCGCAGGTTTCAACGGCCTTAATCATGACACAATACAAACCCATAGAAGAAGCTTCTAGCTTCTCATGGATGGTCTTCAGGCCCATCTTATAAGAGGTAATGCCAATATATTTTTTATTTTGCTCATAAATAGTCTCAATATGGTACCCATTACGGCGTACATCTTTGAAGCTAAGCAGATTTCTTTTTGATCTACTGCTTATAAATGCATTCTCAATATGCAGGATGGTGCCTTTTGGCAAAACAATTGTGGCATTCTCGAAACCATCAATAATCGGAATAGGACCCGATATTGTATGCACATGTGCCTTACGCAATGTCATACTCGAGAAAAAGTGTCTACTATGAAATATGGTATGTGTTGATACACTATTAAGCAAACAACCATCTTCCTTTTTCTCGGTGTTTTCCATTTGCATTTATGTTGACAACTTCAGGTGTCAAGTATCATAAAATTTTCATATTAGTTATAGGATCAAATAAAATTTCAAAATAATAAATATTATATCAAGTTCATAAGCATTTCATTGCATAACCATATTAAACAACAATAAAAGGTAATACATTTAAAGAAAAACAACTAGAAAAGAAATTATTAGAATCATAAAATTCAAAGTCTAAGATGTTATCCACCAGTCTGATGCTTCATCAAAGTAATCAGAGGTCCTCAAAGAAATCAGAGACATCCAGGGATGCATTTGCTACTTCAAGAGCAAGAGGAGTCCCACCAACAGAGATATTGTTGGCCTCAACAGTAGTTATGGCAGCAGGATTAATTTCAATGGCGTGAGATTCACCACGTTTGCCCGTATTTTTTAAAGATGCCTGGTATAGATCAACAAAGTGCTTTGGCGTACGACAAGTACGTGACCAGTGCCCAGTCATGCCACAACGATGGCAAATACTTTCATTAGTCACCTTCTTTGGCTTCTTTTCTTTGTCATGATTCGGGCCAAAGTTAGATTTCCTAGGGCGGTTAAATTTTCTGCCACCCCTTCGAGGATTATATTCTTGCCTGCGCTTGTAGCCTTTAAAATGGCCAGTAATTTTCTCAGAGTTAGCATGTGCTTCAGGCAATGCTTTTGAGCCAGCAGGTCTAAGATGATGATTTTTTAGCAGCAATTCATTAGTTTGCTCAGCAGTGAGGAGCATAGAAATTAATTCAGAGTATGTGGCAAATTGACGCTACCGGTATTGCTGTTGCAATACAATATTCGAAGCATGGAAGGTGGATAAAGTTTTCTCTAACAGTTCCGCATCAGTGAGCTTGATGTCGCATAACTCAAGCCGAGAAACAATATCAAATAAAGCGGAGTTATAGTCAGACACTGATTTAAAATCTTGTAGTCTGAGATTTTGCCAGTCATATTGTGCTTGAGGAAGGATAACAGTCTTGGTATGATCATACCTATCCTTCAACCTCTTCCACAGGGTCTGAGGGTCTCGAACAGATAAATATTGAGTCTGCAGGCTCTCATGCAAATGACGACGAATAAAAATCAGTGCATTTGCTTTATCTTTTGCATTTGAGGTTCCATCTTCTGTAATTGCATTAGCGAGATCTTGCCCTTGGAGGTGCATTTCCATGTCAAGTCACCAGGATAGATAATTATTTCCACTCACTTCCAAGATGTAGAATTTGGGCTTTTCAATATTTGCCATAATTCTTGCAAAACAAATGAATCCTTAAATTAATTAGAAGGATTTCCAAATATCCACCGCCACTTCAGGAGCAGAAGAATACTTTTAGATTGGAAATTGGCTTCAGGCCAAGAAAAAGAAAAATGAAGAATTGATAGGAGAAGATGACTATAAGTTGAATAGTGAAAACAAAGAGAACACTTACCTTGCAAAAATTATTTACTCAATTGGTAGATCTTCGTGCTGATAACTTGTTGTAAAATATTGCGTTGCAAGAATATAATAGAGAGAATAGAGAGAGATTAAGTAGAGAAAGTAGATAAATACCAAAGATGGTAGAGAAAGTCAGAGGAGAAATTTTATTTTCACTGTATATTTTCTTCTTTCATTCTCTTCTTCTGTTCTAATTTCTTACACAATGACCAAAACTAAGCTCCTATTTATAAGAAAACAATGATGCACATATCATTAATGTAAATGTATTGAATATATACATTGAATAGGGAGATGGGCATTTATACGTAGAATGTAGGTTACGAATGTGCCATAATAGGTACATTGAATATTCATTCATGTATATAGGTTACGAATGTGCCACAATAGGTACATTGAATATAATGAATATTCATTCATGTATTTCATAACAAATAAGACCTATCAACTAATTATGCTAAATTAAAAAAAAATACCGAAAGCGTTAATGAATTTTAGTAAATTCCTAAACAATCGCATTTCTTGAGAATTCACTCGACCATCGAAGCATAGTATGATGCGATGCTTTTACCTCCTGAAATTTGTTGTCATTTTTGGACGACTCGCCACAGGACCACAGCTTGCTTATGAATGTTCTGCTGCCAACTTCGATGGCAAATGATGGCATACTATGATGAACAACGATGGACACCGACCGAGATCTAGATGTTCTGTTTCTCATGTATTTAAATATTTGGATATTTTATAGTATTAGAGAAATTTTGAAAATTACTAAAGTTGGTATTGTAATTATAACTGAAAATTCCGATGCACCAAACGAAAAATCACGACAAAGTAGCTTTGCAGTTCCTTAAAATTGATTATTAGACACTTTTAGTTTCAATCAAATCATTTTGTTTGGATTCAAGTCTTTTGTACTAACTTTTGAGCAAACTATGAATTTTCCTTACCGATCCCCTAAAAAAAAGCCAAAGCATTGCCAAAATTCCCGTCGATATGGAAGAAAGTTCTACGAACACAACAAACAGGTGAAGAAAATGGCGAAGTACGCCATTGCTATGGCATTATTCTCTATCACACTCGTCACCCTCACTCTGCAATCATCATGTTCCCAGTATTTCCAATTTCTTGACACAATTTAAAAATTTGAAAACTTTTATGATAACCCAAATGCCGCCCCAACCTCTATAAACATGTGAAGTTTTTGCTGGTTTTATAGGATCGAAGTTTTGAGTTGCCCTCACTTTTGGTCGATTGATTGATTCGTGGCAGTGGTATCGTGGCGAGTCAATGCCATTTGGGAGTTGAGAGAGCTGATTTCGCGGTGTCGATCACAAACTTGAAGAGAGATCGGTTTGCTATTCTTTTTGGTGGTTCATATGGTTGAAGCAAGCAAGCCCTTGAAGCTATAAAGAAATGCAAAGACCGTTTAGTAAACTATGCTTGGAGAAGCAACTTTAAGGGAAAGATTGTTTGGTAGAATTTCATTTGAACAGTCCGTTTGGGTCATTAATTTAAGCTTTTTAACTTTTAATTTGTTTAAAATTGAAAAAATAATTTCTAAAACTTTTTAAATTTAAATATTGACAACAATGTTAAAGATAGGTATTACCAAAATTATTAAAAAAATATTTTTTTTGCTAAAGAGGCAGTTCTGGGCCAGGAACTCTTGCTTGGAGAGCACAGATCTGAGCAAGGGAGAGCACAAATCTGAGTGAGGGAGCAGTCAAGCGAGGTTGAACACAGAGCGAAGCGAACAAGCATTCCAGCAAGGGAGAGCAAAGCAAGGAGTAGTCGAGCAAGGAAGAGGGAAGCAAAAGGGGTGGAACGCTTCACGAGAAGTGTTGTTTTGTTTCTTTAAAGGAGCAAAATTAGACTTCTTATAAGTTTTTTAGGGCAAAAAAAGAAACTGACCAAATTTCATTAATTTATGGTATCAGTATTTCAAAAATGCTGGCCTAAAGCCCCTTAGAAAAAACTTGCCAAACACCCCAAATTTTCGACAATAGGCCTTGGAGGCTTAAAGCCCCTTGAGAAAGCTGAACCAAACGTAACTTAAATGTCACCAATTGGTGTGAGGAGGTGGGTGATGCGTGAAGTTGCAATATTGTGAAGTGGGTATGTATTGCAAGATCTTTGTGGTGTGGTGGAAGGGAATTGCTATTCAGGGTGCGATAATTTGTGATAGCGAACTCATCTTGGTTTGGTTCTAGATCTTTGGAAGCCAAGGTCACGCAACCTCGGGGGAACCTAAATCTGGCCCTTTGATCATCCATAACTCAAGTGAGGGCCGCCGAGGATGCACAATACCAGGTGAGGCGACACCGATGTTGCATGACCGTGGCCAAAGGGCTAAATCTGGGTCACTTGTCCCTTGACCTTGAACCACAGCAGCTCAGGCGAAGACAGCAACTTTGGCAACAATGATGGCTCGGTGGCACGCAACCTTCAATCTCGACCTTGACCTCGACCTCAACAACAAACCATCGAGCACAAAGAAGAAGATTAATAGTGATTTGGAGGGCAAAAGTGGAACACACCATTGCCATGGAAGAAAAAAAAAGAAGAAAAAAAAATCCACATCAATGCCAATCATGCCACGTAGGAAGTCCGCCGTCCATGTCAGTAATTTTCAACCTAAATTGCCCAGATGAACTCAATTGGTACCGATGTGAAAATATTTATAACTAAATTGGTTCAATTAAAAGGTTTATAACTGAATTGGTACCAATGCAATAGCCTTATGACTTTTTTGGTACTTTTCCTTGTTGATATGTATGTGAAACAAAGGGATCTCATGGGATTGAGAATGCACTAGCTGCATTCCCCTTGATAAACCTAAATAATCTCTCATACTTTGTTTCATTCTATGAATCTTTGCAAGATGTGCCTCCAAAAATAATAATCGGGGTCCCTTTGTTAGGCGGAAAATTCACGATTTTAAAAAATATTTTCCTTAATATGATTGTTTATATTACTTAAAAATGTATCGATAAAAAATATTTTCATTATCCACTAAAAAGTTTAGCCATAAATTATTGGCTAATTATTTCAAGCGATATGATCAATCATTTTTAGGAAAATAATTTGTAAATTATTTATCTTTTGCGACACAAATGGACTATCAATAAGTGGATAATTTTCATAGAAAATGGAAAAGAGGAATAGAGAGGGAAACTCTACGTTCTTAGGACACTAAAAGGCATGGAAAGATAAGAAGAAAACGGAAAGTGGACCCGCGAGGAAAGAAAAGAAAAAAAAAATGGAGGGATAGCACGTTGACCAAATAAAAAGATGAGAATAATGCTAAGAACTAAGCCACACAAAGAATAATATGATCAAATAGGGAGCGTCTAAGCAAAAGAATGAGTGGAAAAAGCACTGCTCAAAAATTACTTGCGACATATTCCCAAAAAAAATTGTTTTATGAATGATTTTTAAGAATCTGAGTATTCATTTCTTTTATAAGTGAATTTGCATAAAATAAAGACTGAAGATGAAAATCACTTAGACATACCCTCGGTTACATGGATATACGAAAGCCCAAGACTAATAAATTTTACATCCAAATGGTAAGGTGGCTTGTTTAGCAATAATTAGCTTTCTTGGAAAAAATAAAAGTAATTATTATGGTGAAGAGTTGGTGTGGATCATTGATTTAAGTAAGAAGAAAAACTAAATTTAATTGATGCTACTCGTTACAAAGAGATAAACGTTTTGATCATGAGGTTATTTGAAATCTCTAAGAAAGCTAAACAAGTGGAAAACTATAATAATAATGTCTAATAATAGGATCTTTTGTAATTAATTGATTTATTCATACTCTGACCATTGCAATGTAAAAAAAAAAGGGTTTTTAGTGATATCGATAATAATAAATCGAAAAAGAGAATTGGGTAAATTCTGTATATTTAATAATGAAGAGTACATGAGCTTATAAGTTCTATGTAATGACTAAATTAACAAAAAAATTGCCATACTAATTACAATCCATTAGAATAAATCGATTGTATGTATAGTCAAACGAAGATAATGCACTGTCCCGAAAGATATGGGCAATCAAAAAAAGATGATGGCCATTCCTGAAAATTATGCGAAATCAAGGGAGGGACACAGAGTTTCCAATATATATATCAACGACCATCGTGGAAGGGTTTGCATGGATATCGGGCAAACTATTTGAGATAGTGCAGAAGATGGCGAAACGCGCCATTGCTGTGTTATCATTCTCCATCGCCCTCTTCACCCTCGCTCAGCAATCATCATGTTCCCAGCCTTTCAAACCCTTCTCCTTCCACCGTGCGCCAAGGTTCCCCGGCAGATCCTCAACGTCCAAACTCCGCCACCTATACGACAGCCAGCTATCGAAGCAGGTTCCCCGGTACGGATACGAGACGCGGTACTTCGAGCAGCACCTTGACCACTTCAGCTTCTCGAAGCTCCCGAAGTTTAACCAGCGGTACCTCATCAGCTCGGAGCACTGGTCCGGGCCCGGTCGGCTTGGACCCATCTTCATGTACTGCGGAAATGAAGGCGACATCGAGTGGTTCGCTGCGAACACAGGCTTCATGTGGGAGATAGCCCCGAGCTTTGGTGCAATGGTGGTTTTCCCTGAAGTAAGTGCTCTTATGGAATTCTTGTATCTGTTTAGTGTGGCATATTTTCGAAAGTTTAGACGATAAAGATCATGCTAAGGACATTTCAAGAAATCTAAAAGCTCCGGGTATAGAATAATTCCTCCATCTTCCTTGCATTCATGGTGAAGTTTGAAAATTTGAAAGCTTTACGAAAACCCAAATGCACCCCTACCTACATAAACATGCGTATGATTGGCTGGTGTTATAGGAGTTTGATTGATAGTTCCCTCATTTTGTTTGATTGATGATTCGTAGCATCGGTATTATGGTAAGTCAATGCCATTTGGGAGTAAAGAGAAAGCGTACAAGGATGCCACTACCTTGTCTTATCTTACTACGGAGCAGGCGCTGGCTGATTACGCGGAGTTGATCACACTTTTGAAGCGAAACTTGTCTGCCGAGGCCTGCCCTGTTGTTCTTTTTGGTGGTTCATATGGTGGAAGTAAGTAAGCCATTTAAGCTCCCTTTTGAACTCTGGTTTTTCGTTTTCAGTCTAGCGTGTTTCACTAAGCAACAGGTTCCCCAGAGATTTTTGATGTATCGTTCATCTTCTTGCACATTTAAGATTTTAGGCCTGGGCAGAAAATTGCAGTTGTGGATGTATAGGTCATTTTTTATTTTTTTGATTTCTTGTTCCCCTTTATGATTCATTAATCTTTAACAGTGTTAGCAGCATGGATGAGGTTAAAGTATCCACATATTGCCATAGGCGCACTTGCTTCTTCAGCTCCGATACTTCATTTTCCAGATATTGTGAAACCAGAATCGTTCTACAACATTGTCTCCAATGATTTTAAGGTGTGTCGTTAAATTCGACCTTGCTTCATTTGTCTGAAGTGAATGTACTCGTGTGCATCTATGTCATCTCATTTTTCCACTGAAAACTGCAGCGCGAAAGTACTAGCTGCTTTAACACTATTAAAGCATCCTGGGATGCATTGACAGCTGAAGGCAAGAAGAAGAATGGTCTTAAGCGACTGACAAGAATGTTCCGGTTATGCGGGTATGAACAAGGACGGTGATACTTTAGTCAATTTGTTACCAACCTGATTGAGTTTAGAGGAACTTCTAATGCTTAATGTCATTGTGTCGTCCTTTGAGATACCTAAATGAATTGAACTCTGATTGTTGGTAGGGAGTTAAAGAATACAGATGACCTAGCTGGTTGGCTGGATTCTGCTTACTCCTATTTGGCAATGGTTGACTATCCATATCCATCCGACTTTCTTATGCCTCTACCTGGATACCCGATAAGAGAGGTCAGTCAAGATTCTACTATAACTTGATCATTAAATGGAACCTTGGTGCCGTATAATGCTATTTCTCTTTATCTGAAATAGTATTGTAACAAGATGCCATCATTTTTATCTAGAGTTTCTATGGAATTTTAACAAAAATCATCTTCTATTATTTCCTGAAATTTATGTCTTAAGGTGCATCATGGTGATAGCGGAGGAAATTTGGTGGTCATTACATCTTAAGGAAATTATTCTCTAACTAATGTTGTTTTTGAATCCCCTGTCATTAAGCTTGCCTAATTGAATTCCCTGTCTTTAAGCTTTCTTTTCGACATTTAGTAAATTTTAAAAGCACGTGTTACATATTTGTATGTCGAAAGTATATTATGCACAAAAAATATCTGGTAAAACTTGAAATAATATGAGTCAAGTTGGGAGATGCAGAAACAGATTTAACCAAGGTTTGCTTACAGACACTAGGAGCCCGCGTACAATTCAAGATAAGAGAAAGAAAAAGGAAGAAACAGGTCGAAATCAACACCATCCACTTGAAACTTTAAGCCTACATTATGTTAAAAAAGGATGTTCCAAATTTGCTGAATTCGCTCTCAGGCTTTGTGATATTATATATATACATCTACAACTCTTTCTTTGGTATAGATACGTCCTCCTACCTGTACCAGTTTTCTGGATTCTTTTCAGCTGAATCCTGTTATCCTGTGATGTTAAGAGTTGGGCAAGTCAGACATCTTGACACGTAGTGTCCACATAATATAGCATATGCATTACGATATATTAAACATATCTGCTGAGCATATTTGGACGCACAATGTTTTTTGCTCCTTACTAGGTCTGCAGAAAGATTGATGGTTGTCCAGATGGGACTAGCATTCTGGAACGTGTCTTTGAAGGTGTTAGTGTCTACTACAATCACACCGGAGAAGTTGATTGCTTTGATTTGTATGATGATCCTCATGGCATGAGTGGCTGGGACTGGCAGGTGTAAAACTGTTGAGATTCTATTCTCTGTTGTTTGTTCCCCTAATATTAAAGTATGAAAGGTGCTACGTTGGGAAAAGAACAATGACCTAGTGATGTCAGTTCATTTCGCTTGTTTCATTGTGGTGTACAGGCATGCACGGAGATGGTAATGCCAATGACTAGTAACCCAGATACGAGCATGTTTCCTGAATACGATTTTGATCTTTCTTATTACAAAGAGGATTGCCGGACCCAATTCAAAGTCAATCCGAGACCAAGGTGGATAACAACTGAATTTGGTGGGAAGGTAAGAAACCACCGCGATATTTATTTGTTTGTTGTTTTTATCTTAAAGTTTTGCAGCATGACGACCTTGCATGTGTAGCTTCTTGGGCCATATTCCATCCAGTTCTGTGACCACTTTAGCATTTCTTATGCAGCATGGCATTACCTTTGATTGTCTATTCGTGTCCCATTTGCTCTGTTCGGTACTCCTTTATTTGGGTTATAAGGCTGAAACTGAAGTTGTCTGATGACGATAGTGGGAGAAGTCCAATTTAGTCCCACACAATTAGGAGCAAGGAATGAAAGAGGCTCCTGAAGATTTCAATCTGCCTAAGCCGAAAAAAAGACATGATAAGAATTGTCCTTCTCATTAGCCAAGTGCATAGATTTCCTCGATAAATCAAAATACGAGCGATCATTTCTTTGAGAGGTAGCTGCGGAGGTGTTTTTTTGCAGTGAGCCTCATTACGATCCAAACTTCCGATGCCTCAGTTTTATCGAAAGAGAGGGAAAGCTGGTGTTTCCTTTGGGGTGTGCTGTTTTCTTTCCTTTGGGGGGGAGGGGTGAAGTGGCTTAGTTTGCACCTTGGCCAGATCTCTGATTTGCTTGATTACCTATGATGCGGAGTTTTCAAGTTAACGCTGAACCCATTATCAGTAATCTATAGTAATATCGTAGCAATAATGGGTGCAGCTTTGGTTTTCTGGGTTTATTTCCTTGTGATTATGTATGTGATCAAGTCAATCACTTAACATGGGTTCTATGGTGATTGGAGTGTTCGGGGCCTTTAAGTTGCGGAACAAAATTTAAGGGTTGCACTTCAATGATATTTACATTGGCTTGTCGCACAATTGCTTGTGTAGTAAATAGATTGTTTGCACGGACTTACAACATGAATTTTGGACACATTTTGAAGGACATCATGACCACTTTGAAAACGTTTGGAAGCAACATCATCTTCTCAAACGGCATGCTTGATCCTTGGAGTGGCGGCAGGTTGGTCTTTCAATATCTTCTGTTAGAGCTGTCAGTTGATTGAAATTTAATATCTGGTATTTTGATTCTGTTGATTCTATGCCACAGTGTGACCCAGAATGTATCTGATTCTATTGTTGCTCTAAACACACAAGAAGGTATGTTTGAATTGAAATCTTACTTCGTCCTATTTCTTCCCTCCTTTTTTATCTAATCTTTCTAGGACATAGAATGAGCTAGTGATTTGAAGGTATGTTTGCTGCATATGTCATGGCAACTGCATATATGATGTTTCTCTTGTGAAACACTCTGCCTATGCCTACTTTGTGTTGTCTTTGTCCTTGTTAAAAACACCATGTCTCGTTAATAGGTGCCTAAGCACCAGTTAAAGACCACTTAAAATAGTAAAAACACATTAAAACACTTTGAAAATTGAACAAAGAAGGTACTTCAAGGGAGTGATATGCTTTAAATCGAAACTTTTATATTACCAAACCACAACAGAAAACCCTTAACAGTGCCCTATGGGCACTCGTTAGTGTTTTCCTTGACAGCATTCCACCTGAAAGAATGAGGCATTTGAGGTGATGTATTTTCACTTTTTTGACTGGCTGCATGCTTATGTGAGGCATGTCAACCTTTGAATTGGTATTGGAGCTTACAGTTCTTTCTATCAACTGGCGGGCGTGCCTCATTTTCAGCAAAGTGAAGACCACGTGGGAAAAAACACATTACACGCCAAGTCACTTCCTAGAACTGACCCGGTTGAAAGTGAAATAAAAGTCGAGTGACTCAATTAACAAATTGAAATACTGTCACGTACATTATAGTTAGGACACAGAGGCCATGGCCACAATAAATTTATCCTTCAAAGAGTCAGCTTACCACTCTCCATAGTACAGCAAATAATCTTCCATTTTACAGAAAGTACAGTAGCTAAATGTAAAAGTTGATGAACAGACACCTAACAACTATGGATGGACGGCGTGCTGCACATTGTTAGGTAGTGCAAGAGATATATTTACCAAAAAGAGAAATTTAGGGATCATGTTACAAACGTCCAGATGTTTGTCCCGAACCTTATAAAAGGCAGATTACAGTTAATACTTTTTTAAACTATCATTTGACGTAAACCTTCATAAGTATTCTTAGGCTGAACAGTGTTCGGTCTTCTGCATTGTGTACTAGGTTATCTTCTTTGATGGCTCTTCAAATATAGATGATCAGTGCGAAGATATAAATCACAAGGCAGCTACACTGATGACAGAAACTAAAATCTTGAATGATGATCCGAATGATAGGATTAGTAGTGTTGGTCCTCTATTCTTCAGTGAAAACATTGTTCTGAATAAAGACCATATCTCTATTTCTAAGATTTTTTAAAAGGCAGTCTCTGTTTTTGATGTGCTGCAATGAATAAATCAGCTCAGGTAAGTCCACTCAGTTGAGGCATCAAGAAACATTCACTTTTCCTTTATCAAATGAACTTACTCTGTTCACTTCCATGACATCATATTTCAAAATGCCTTAGATTTCTATGGAGTTCTTTCATGTAATTCGATATCATTCCCACTCGTTGCTTCAAAATGCAAGTACATGATGTCATCGTTGTTCTTATCCAAGTCATATGAAATGTCTTTTGAGTTCATACTTAGCAAGATGCAAACATATCACGTGATTGCTTTTGTTTTTAGTGAGACATTTTTTTTGCTTCGAAAAATGCAAGCACAATTTGTCCTTGTTCTTGTCCAAGTCTTTCGAATCTTATCACATAAGTTCAAACTTAGCAAGATGCTAGCATGTGATGTGATCATTTTTGGTTCAGCTAGATCCTTTTGATCCATCAGTGGAGAAGATGTGCCATTTCCAATGCTAGCTTCGCAATATTAAGTTCATTATATCCTAACATCGTGAGCAGTTTTATATGATGCAACTTACCAGTGTTGTTAATTTGTTCTAGAAGAAGTCACCCGGCAAGTTCTTGAGTTATTACTTCATGCCGCGTGACACTTTCACTCGACTCATTTTTTCCATGTGGATTACAGGACTTGTCAAAAGAGTAGGTCAGGTAAAAAATGGTCCGACCCAAACATACCTAGTGACTCCTTCTTGACTCGGGCCATAACCGACTGAACCTATATTGCTAGAATACTTCATTTTGCATTTTGCATCTCTTTATTACTGCTAAATATGCACACTCCTTCCTAGTCCCTCCTAGGAGCCACCTTCAGTTTTGCATATCATGATCATCTTGTTCATGTCACCAGTGTAAATAGGAAGGCCATTGGAGGTTCTTTCATCAGGCATCTCCCCCACTGATGAAGCAGCCACAGACGATGTCGAGGCCGAGATTAATTCGTTCCTTGCGTCTTCTTTTTCAGGTGCTCATCACATAGATTTGCGCGCCGCAACGGCGCAGGATCCCGTCTGGCTTGTAGAACAGAGAGCGACTGAGATCAAGCTGATTAAGAAGTGGTTGAGCGACTATTATCAGGCGAAGGGAGCTACCATCTAATCCTGAAACCGGCGACAGGGCTAGCATTCATGTAAATATGTGCATGGTCTTCCGTTCTTATAACGAGACCAGCCAAGAAAAAAAAGGGGCAAATGTTGATTGCTCGGAAAGAGGAATGGAGGGGGAGTAGTTGCTCGCAAAGGTGTCCTAAACAAAAGGCGAGACCGATTATAATGATGTCAGTTCCGTCGTTTTATAATGGTGTTTACAGAGTAATACAAAATTTGCATCTCTCTCTCTCTCCCCATCTATACAATTTGAAGTCCTAAAATTTGGCTAGGAGACGATGTCGTTTTAACTATTTCCCAATGTCACCTATGCTGACATGGCACTCGATATTTGTCATGTCAGCTTCCGTTTGCCACCTTAGAAGCAGCGTATGCATTTCATGACGAAATTAATTGTGCCAAAATTGTCTGAAAGATGGAAGTTTGGGTTTTTTTTTTGCAACACTTGGAAATTAGGGGCAAAATTGTTCCCTTACTAAGAGTCGGTCACCGTGCCGGCTTAGGACCACATAGGAGTTAAGTTGACTGCCTTGGTAGAGCTCTATGACAAGCTTATTTTACTGGGACCCATCTATCCAAAACTTATTCTTACTATATAAAAGACTTTAAATTTGTATTTATATGATACTTCTATCCTTTTGTCAGATGTAAACAACGTCATTTTTAATTCAATTCAGTCACATAAGCAACATATCAACAATGTTTGATTTTCAAGTGTTAGTGTAGGTAAATTTTTAACATTACTCATTGACGGAATTTTAACAAAAGACAACGGTAAATGTATCACAGGTACGACTTTAAAATCTTTGGTGTCACCGAGAAAAGTTTAATTTCATAGTTTGCTTCTGTCCAATTAAAAAACCAATTCCTAATTAAATTAGGAAAGTTATCCAAATCCAAAAAAACATTTCCGGCTCAAATCGCCACATATATAGAAACATCCGCAGACAATGGAGTACAGAGCTCTAACGAGCAGGTGAAAGGAAATGGCGAAACACGCCATCGCTGCGTTATCGTTCTCCATCGTCCTCCTCTTCATCCTCGCTCAGCAATCATCATCATCATCTTCCCAGCCCTTCGGATCCTTCTCCTCCCGTCGCGCCCCGAAGTTCCTCGGCAGATTCTCCACCTCCAATGCCCACCGCCACCGCCACACCCACCAGCGATCCAAGCAGCTCCGTCGGTACCAGTACGAGACGCGGTACTTCGAGCAGCGCCTCGACCACTTCAGCTTCGCGGAGCTGCCCGGGTTCAACCAGCGGTACCTCATCAGCTCGGAGCACTGGGCGGGGCCCGATCGGCTCGGACCCATCTTCTTGTACTGCGGGAATGAGGGCGACATCGAGTGGTTCGCCGCCAACACGGGGTTCGTGTGGGAGATCGCCCCGAGCTTTGGTGCGATGGTGGTTTTCCCTGAAGTGAGTGCTCTTGTCGAATAACGTGGAAAATTTTCGACATTTCGACGATAGAGATCATGCTAAAACTGGAAGTTCCGGGCATATGATAGTTTCTCTAATTTCCTTAAATTCTTTGTGAAATTCGAAAATTTGGAAGCTTTTACGAAAACCCAAATGCATCCCCACCTATACAAATATGTGCATTGTTGGCTGGTTTTATAGGAGTTTGATTGATAGTTGCCCTCATTTTGGTTGGTTGATTGATTCGTAGCATCGGTATTATGGTGAGTCGATGCCATTTGGGAGTAGAGAGGAAGCGTACAAGAATGCCGCTACCTTGTCTTATCTTACTGCAGACCAAGCGCTCGCTGATTTCTCGGTGTTGATCACAAACTTGAAGCGAAACTTGTCTGCTGAGGCTTGCCCTGTTGTTCTTTTTGGTGGTTCATATGGTGGAAGTAAGTAAGCCCTTTAAAACTCCGTTCTGAACTCTATTTTTTTTTTCCCCCTGTCTAGTGTGTTTCACTATGCATGGATTGGTGAAAATTGTTTCCCTAGAGAATTTTGATGTATTGGTCATCTTCTTGAACGTTTTAAGATTTTTGGATTGGGCAGAAAATTCCTGCTGTTGATGTATAGGTATTTTTCTTTTGTTTTCTTGTTCCCCTTTGAGATTCATTAAACATTTTGCATGGTAATCTTTCACAGTGTTAGCAGCATGGATGAGGTTAAAGTATCCGCATATTGCCATAGGCGCACTTGCTTCTTCAGCTCCAATTCTTCAGTTTGAAGATATTGTGCCACCAGAAACGTTCTATGACATTGTCTCCAATGATTTCAAAGTGTGTTGTTAATTTAACCATGCTTCATTTGTATGAAGTGAATATACTTATGTGCATCCATGTCATCTTATTTTTCAACTCAAAACTGCAGCGTGAAAGTACTAGCTGCTTTAACACAATTAAAGTGTCCTGGACTGCATTGATCTCTGAGGGCCAGAAGGAGAATGGTCTTTCGCAACTGACAAGAATGTTCCGGTTATGTCGGTAAAGTGTACAAAGAAATTATGCTTCAGTCAATTTGTTACCAACCTGATTGAGCTTACATGAACTTGTAATGCTTAATGTCATTGTGTCCTCCTTTTTGCTACCTAAATTAAAGGAAGTCTGATTGTTGGTAGGGAGTTAAAGAATACAGATGAGCTGGCTAATTGGCTGTATTCTGCTTACTCCTATTTGGCAATGGTCAACTATCCATATCCTTCTGACTTTCTTATGCCTCTACCTGGACACCCGATAAGAGAGGTTAGTCAAGATTCTAATATAAATTGATCATCAAATGAAACCTCGGTCCCATATAATGCAGTTTTCATGTAATGCTCTTTCTCTTATCTCAAATAGTACTGTAACTGGATGCCATCTTGTTTGTTTCTACTTTCTAGGGAATTCTAATTAAAATCATCTATTATTTTTTTCTGAATTTGTGTCTTAGATGCATCATGGTGGTAGCAGAGGGAATTTGGTTGTCATTACATCTCAAGGAAACGATTCTCTAATTAATATTGTTTTTATTACCGTGTCTTTAGGCTTGCTTTACTGAATTCCCTGTCTTTAATCTGGCTTTTCGATATTTAGAAAATTTTCAAATCAAGCCTTTTAAATTGTATGTCAAAATTAAATTATGCACAAAAGATACCTGGTAAGACTTGAAATATCACGAGTCGAGTTGGGAGATGCAGAAACAGATTGAGCCAATGTTTGCTTACTGACACTAGAAGCCCACTTATATTAGAAAAGAAAGAAAAAGAAGAAAAAAAGAAACAGGCTGAAGTCGACACCATCCACTTCAAAACTTTACACCCACATTATGTTAAAAAAGGATGTTCCAAAATTACTGAACTCACTCACAGGCTTTGTGATATTATATATATACATCTAAAACTCTTGCTATGGTATTGAGACGTCCTACCCGTCTGGATTCTTTTTAGCTGAGTCCTGTTATCCTGGAATTTTAAGTGTTGGGTGAGTCAGACATCTCGACACATAGTGTCCACGTGATGTAGCATATGCATGACAATGTTTCAAACGTATCTGCTGAGCATATTTGGATGCACATCATGTTTTTCTCCTTACTAGGTCTGTAGAAAGATTGATGGTTGTCCAGATGGGACTAGCATTCTGGAACGTGTATTTGAAGGTGTTGGTGTCTACTACAATTTTACCGGAGAAGTTGATTGCTTTGAATTGGATGATGATCCTCATGGCATGGATGGCTGGAACTGGCAGGTCAAACTGTCAATCCTATTCTTTATTAAAGGTTCCCCTAAAGTTAAAATATGAGAGGTTTTGCCTCCGGAAAAGAAGAATGACCTAGTGATGTTAGTGCGTTTCGCTTGATTCATTGTCTTGCACAGGCATGCACGGAGATGGTTATGCCCATGTCTAGCAGCCCAGATGCAAGCATGTTTCCTACATATGATTTTAATTTTTCCGCTTTCCAAGAAGAGTGCTGGACCGATTTCAAAGTCAATCTAAGACCAAGGTGGATAACAACTGAATTTGGTGGGAAAGTAAGACACTACAGTGATATATATAATTTTTTAATCTTAAAAGTTTTGCAGCATGACGAACTTGCATGTGTAGCTTCTTGGGCCTTATCCCATCCAGTTCTGTGTCCTCTTTAGCATGTCTTATGCTGCATAGCACTCCCATTAATTGTCTGTCCTGTCCCATTCTCTATGTTCAGTACTCCTTTATTTGGTTTATGAGGCTGAAGCTGAAGTTGTCTTATGATGATAGCAAGAGAGATCCAATTTAGTCACATACAATTAGGAGGAAGCAAGGTAAGAGGTTGCTGAAGATCTTGATCTGCCTAAGTCAAAAAAAGACATAATAAATATTATCCTTGTCACCAACCAAGTGCATGGATTCCCTGGGTAAATCAAAATATGATTGATCTTCTTTGAGTGGTAGCAATGGAGGTGTGTTGTGCAGTCAGCCTCATTAGGATCCAAATCATGTGATGCCTCAATTATCCAAAGAGAAAAACGGAAAACTCGTGTTTTCTTTCAGGGGTGTGTGTGTGGGGGGGGGGGGGGGGGGGATTGGTTGGGGCCAGCGGGGTGTGACGTCGCTTGGTGTGCACCTTGGCCAGATGTCTGCTTCGCTTGATCTCGTCAGATGTGGAGTTTTCAAGTAAACTATTCAATTATTAGTAACCTATTGTAATTTAATAACAAAAAGATGTAGCAGCTTTGGTTTTCTGGGATTATTTCCTTGTAAATATGGATGTGATCAAGTCAATCGCTTGACATGGGTTTTATGGTGATTGGAGTGTTCAGGGCCTTTAAGTTACAGAAATAAATTCTAAGGTTGCACTTCAATGTACATTTGATTGTCGCACAGTTGCTTATGTAGTCAATAGATCATTCGCATGGACCTACAACATGAATTCTGGACACATTTTGAAGGATATCATGACCACCTTGAAAACATTCGGAAGCAACATCATCTTCTCAAATGGCTTTCTTGATCCTTGGAGTGGTGGCAGGTGGGTCTTTCCATATGTTCTGTCAGAGTTGTCAGTTATTTGAATTTTCATTATCTGGTATTCTGATTCTGTTGATTCTATGCCACAGTGTGACCCGGAATGTATCTGATTCTATTGTTGCTCTAAACACACAAGAAGGTATGTTTGAATTGAAATCTTACTCCGTCCTATTTCTTTCCTCTGCTTTCTTTTCAATTTTGCTATGACAATAATGAGCAAGTGAAGCTATATTTACCTGCATATGTCATGGGGCACTCCATATATGATGTTTCTACTATGAAATATCATGCGTATGCCTACTTGCATTGATTTTGTCCATTTTATACTGTGGGTTTCGTTAGGATTGCGACATCTTGTGATATAGACTTTATTTGCTTCATGTGAAGCCTACATGGGTTAACTTATAGGGTCAAATGTCCATATGCCTCTTGTTCAGGTCATTTATAATTTGATCCTCTCAGCTCTTTTCATTTTGAAAGCTCCTGTCCCTGTTCCTTTTGAATTTTACAAGTGCCCCTCTCTGCCCCCTGTAACTTCCCTAAACTTCTTGAAATGTGCAAGGATTACTTTTAACAAAAGTTTCCCATTTGAAGGGGGAGGGCTTTGTTCGTTTTGTAATGATTGAACTTCACTTTTACTTTTATGTAGGTCAAGTCAATAATTTCAAGAAAGTCAATTGTCTTTGATTTCAGTTTGAATCGGCTCATTTTGTTAGGTTTTTGACAAATAAGTTTTGTTAATAAGTGCCACAAGGGCACTAGTTAAAACCACTGAATTTTAGTAAAAATGCATATAAGAACACTTTGGAAATTGAACAAGAACATATTTCGAGGGAGCAATATGCTTTAATTAGAAACTTTAATGTTACCAAGGCACTATTAAAAACCATTAACAAGTGCTCTGGGGGCAATCTTCGGTAGTTTTCTTGACAAAATTCCACCCAAAAAAATGTGGCATTAGATGGTATATTTTTTCCTTTGTGACTGCTGACGTGCTAAGCTTACTGTTCTTTCAATCAACTGGTGGCATGCCTCATTCAGCAAATTGAAGACCATGTGAGAAAAAACACAACACAAGCCGAGTCATTTTCTCGGTTAGTTTTTTATTGAAAAAATTGATGGGGTGACTGGTTGAAAATGAAATCAAAGTCGAGTGAATTGATTGAAAAATGAAAATACTGTGATGTATATTATAGTTAGGATATCAATGCATGACCACAAAATATTTTAGCCTACAAAGAGTCAGCTTACCACTCTCTCCAATGACAGTGAATAATCTTCTGTTTTACCCAAAGTACAGAGGCTAAATGTAAAAGTGGATGAACAGAAACCTAACAAACATGGACGGATGGTGCAGGTATATATTTACTGAAAAAAGGGATTCAGGGATCATGTTATAAACTTCCAGATGTAAATCCTAAAAGTTATATGGGACAGATTACAGTCAATACCTTGTCAAACTATCGTGTGGCCTAAGCCTTAACAAGTATTCTCAAGCTTAACAGTGCTTAGTCTTTTACATTGTGTACAATTTTATCTTATTTGATGGCTCTTAAAAAATAGATGATTAGTGTCAAGATATAACGGCAGCTACAGTGACGACAGAAACTAAACTCTTGAATGATGTTGCCAACGATAAGAGTGTTGGTCCTGCATCCTTCAGTGAAAACAGGTTCTTAGTGAAGACTATAAGGTAGTCTCTGATTTGATGGGTTGAGAAGGTAGTCTCTAGGGGTGGTTTTTGCAATGAATAAATCACCTCAGATAAGCACTCAGTTGAGGCATCAAGAAATATTTACTTTTCCTTCATCAAATGAACTTTCTCTTTTTTCACTTCCATGACATCATATTTTAAAACGCCTTAGAACTCTTTGGAATTCTTTTGTTTATCCGATATCATTCCTGCTTTCTTGCTTCAAAATGCAAGTACAAGATGTTATCCTTGGTCCTGTCCAAGTCATATGAGTCATATTGTTTAAGTTCACACTTAGCGAGACATATCATGTGATTGCTTTTGTTTCAGCAAGTCATTTTTTCGCTTAAAAATGCTAGTACAAGATGTCGTTATTCCTGTCCAAGTCTTTTAAATCATATTACATAAGTTCATACTTAGCAAGATGCTAGCATATGATGTGATCATATTTGGTTCAGTTAGACACTTTTTGATCCATCATTGTAGAAGATGTGCCATTTCCAATGCTATTTTCGTGATATTAAGTTCACTAATCCCTAACTACCCAAGCAATTGTATATGAGGTAGCTTAGCAGTGTTGTTAATTTGTTCTCGAATAAATAACCCAGCTAGTTTTCGAGTTATCTACTTTACGTCGCTCGATTCTTGTGACTAGACTCATTTTTCCCACTAGGGTTATGACAAAAAGGTTGTATGTTCTTTCCTTCCATTTGACAATTTTTTAGTTCAGTCTTATGATGGTATGACTCTGCCTTGGTAATCTGACTTTTGGTTCTCTTCCTTGCTGCTAAATATGTACCTTTCCCGGTCCCTTCTGGTATCTACCTTCAGTTTTGTGCATCACGATTCATCTTGTTCATACTACCAGAGTAAAATAGGAAGGCCATTGGAGGTTCCCTTATCAGGCATCTCTTATTGATGAAGTAGCCCCAGATGATGTTAAGGCAGAGATTAATTCGTTCCTTGCATTTTCTTTTCAGGTGCTCATCACCTAGATTTGCGGGCTGCAACGGCACAGGATCCCAACTGGCTGGTAGAACAGAGAGTGACTGAGATCAAGTTGATTAAGAAGTGGTTGAGCGACTATTATCTGGCGAAGGGAGCTACTTTACCATCTAATGTTGAAACAGGTGACAGGCTTACATCCATTTAAATATTTCCAGTTGTCCACAGTCTTCCCTTTATGTAGTGATACCAGCCAAGTAAAATGGGCAAAAGGCTACATCCATGTGAATATGTCCACAGACTGAATCGAAACGATTTATTGATAACCACGGGCAGTGGTTACTCATATGGGTATTATAAACAAAAGGCTAGACTGAATATCGGTAATGATGTTGGTTCCGTCATTTTCTAATGGTGTTTACTGAGTAATACAGAATTTGCAGTTCTATCAAGAAAAGAAAAAGGCTAGATCGATAATGATAGGGAGTTATTAGTTTAGACTCTGATTTTCTAGCTCATTGCCTCCCTCTTGGTTTTGGTCAAAAGACGAGTTGATGAAACTCTTTCATAAGGATAAGAAATGAAATTACGTGGAAAGTTGATGATTTTTTGTGCTATACAAGAAGGAAGGTTAGTAACACCAGGACCGTCACGTGGGATCTATTTTTCGGATGCGTGTAAAGCTGTGTACTTGGTCTGCAAATAAAAGACGCCTTGGTCCGATATTGTAATATGGATCATGGTTTTGCTCGGCGCAATTGCGTGAGGCTCAGGCTCATGAACTCTTTGTGGTGATGCTATGTTATTTGTGGTTTGAAACATGGTGTTTCAGCTTTCAGACTCCAAGCTGTCTGAATTACCCGGATATGGCTTCGAAATGAGCACACTTCTTCACAGCTAAGGCAATGTTTGGTTGTTTGGAATGAAGCCCCGTTCTCTCTTTTTGGCACCGTTTGGTTACTTGGAAGAAGGTGAAACGGCAATAGGAAATTGGGAATGAAAATCGCTGTACTAGTGCATTTCATTAGCATGAGGAAGCTGAGGAATGAGTGATAATCAGTGGGAGCGACCTTATTAAGAACGCAAGTAGACATAAAGGATCATTAACTATGTCTTGGATTTGGTAACTTTTGTATCGAAAGGAAATTCATTGTGGCAGGGCTTATCATAAACGAAGAAGGCACCAACTTTCAATTTGGGACAATTTCAGCCTCGGTTTTTCATAAATAAAATGCAAAATCAATCGAGCTCCCCCACTCGCTTGTCAAACTCGGAATCAGAAGCCAAAGCCAATCCTTGACAGATTGAAGATGTGTGATGTCTTCCATCAAGCAACAAAACGGAGTGGCTCGGCACATAATAATAAATGAGAAACCAAGTTGCAGTTGCTTGGGCTTAAGAGAGTCCATGCAAAGCATAAGCACAACCTTATAAGAGGGCTAACAATGCTCATTAATAATTCGTAAAACACCCTATGGATTCATCACGGAGGGTTGTGGCGCGCTCCTCCAACTCATTGTGAAGTAGCTCTCTTTTCACATCTAGCTACTCTAGTTCGAGATCTAGTGCAGCAATTAAGGCAAGTAATGCTCAAATAGAAGTATGCCTTACCACAAGAGAGTACCTCGTTGTAGTCAAAGCTCTCCCGCTACGTACACCCTTCATAACAATTATTGCCTTACACATCGCTGTCTCGACACTAGGATGCTCTCCTTCCATTTGTAAAAGCATTTATACCCAACAATCTTCAATCTCTTGGATACTTGTTCAGCTTCCATGTCTGATCCCAATGGAGTTATTTCATCTCTTCGCTCCTAGCGCTAGCCACTACGATAACTCAACACTCGCAGCTCTACGGCATGTGGCTCTACTGGTTGTTTTTTTTTTTTTTTTGGTAAGAGGCTCTACTGGTTTTTTTTTGGTAAGAAGGCTCTACTGGTTGTTCGGTACCACTAACATCAAGAATTGCTTCCTCATCTACAATCTCAATCTTTGTTAACTTTGATGTCTTCAAAGTCTTCATTTGAAACTCCACCTCATTGATATCGTGATATGTTTGCTATGGTAGTTGAGTCTCAAGACTCATTTGTTGAAACATAGTAGTCTTGTCGAAGATTACGTCTTTGCTGACTAGAAAACTGAGTGATCTGGCATTAGTGCACCGTAGAGGGTAGTTGGTCACCTCACGTGCATAATCTAGAAACGTGCATAATTTAGAAACATGAACTTCTTGACCCTCAACTTAAGCTTACTATAACTAGGATGGGTATATATAGAACATCTAAATACTTGTAATCTGGAATAGTTAACAAGTTTTCCCGATCATACTTCCGAATCTCCCACTTAATAGAAGATGATGGAGATCGATTAATTGATAACAAGCTATTTTCACAGCCTTGGGCCAAAAATTCGTTTGCTCAATCCTCCATGCACCGAGCTCCCTCAAGTAGAATTCCTTTTACTATTCTTGTAAAATCCTTACCACGTAACTCCACGGAATTTGATTTGTTTACACTATACTACTTCTCAATCTGCACTTTAAACTTATTGAACCAATCAAACATTTTGGATTTGTGCTTTAGAAAGTATACTAATATTATGATGCCCTGGATTTAACTCACTCGAGGTATTATTCGCTTTGACCTCATAGTTTTGTCCTTTGGCATACAGGCAAGCACTTTCCCAGGAGGTCACCTATCCTGGTAGTGCTCTAATCTAGGCTTGCTTAACTTTAGAGTTCTAAAGCAAAGCTTACCGTTACGTCAAAATGCGCCTCCGTGAGTTAATTTTAGTTTTTACATATATATTCCAGAATCGCTTTCCCTCTGTCCGGTGCACAATTCGGCCCTGGATTTAACTCACTGGATTTAACTCACTCGAGGTATTGTCCACTTTGGCCCGTCCCATACCGAGCCTCACGGTTTTGTCCTTTGGCGTACAGGGTCATTACAGGCCCACCAGTTTCCGCCTGGTTCGTCCCCAAACCACACACCTACTGGAGGAGGTCCCACTCTGATACCATATTATGACGCTTTGGATTTAACTAACTCGAGGTATTGTTTACTTTGACCCATCCCATATTGAGCCTTACGGTTTTGTTCTTTGGCGTACAGGTAGGCACTTTCCCAAGAGATCACCCATCCTGGTGGTACTCTAGTTTAGGCTCACTTAACTTTAGAGTTCTAAAGTAAAGCTTACCGTTACGTCAAAAGGCGCCTCCTTAAGTTAATTCTTGTTTTTCACATATATATTCCATAATCGCTCTCCCCATATTCGGTGCACAATTCGGTTCATTCCTACCCCCTTCACCATTCTAAAAGTCTGTCAGGAGCCGCTTTTTGTCCAAGTCCTCTGGCCCCGGCGACCACTCCTCGCCCTTGTCGGGCCCGCTTGTTACAAATATCTTTGTCCAACATTCATAAAAGAATGTCAATATTTATCGAGTATCTCCTTTCGTAGAAACCAGCGATAGGACCTAAGCATTTGAATAAAACGTAATCAACCATTGCTTGGTCGAATGTACAATTAACACAGAGTTGCTTCCTAAATATGCATTGCTCATACAAGTCCACCTTTCCTGTCTTCTAACAGCATCCCCTTCTTACTTAATATCGTCATACCCACCTCACTTATGTGTCCCAACTACATATACCAATACTGAGTCTAGTTTAAGTCTTACTCAACCGATCAACTGATGAAACTACAACAGCTCTTATGAAGGTCTCTCCCGGCAGATACAGAGAGAATTCACCTTCTTCCTCATTATTATTGTCACGGACCTCGAGAGATGTTAAGCACTCCACCTTCGGTGGTGTACTTATGTCCGATGTCATTTCATGTGTCACTAGAACAATGATGCTTTTCTTGAACTCCGGTATATGCCTTACATTTGTTTGTGTGTACTCCACCCCATCGTGCATCTGAATCTGATTTTTTCTATCCCCACAACCTTTCAAGTTATGTTTTTATCCATCAAAATCTATTACCATATTCAATCCGGTAAGTGGTAAAACAGTTCCTATAAGGCGTCATAGAATATGAACATCCCAAATCTAGCATTCACTCGTCTATTAAGGAGCTAGTAGACACACCCAAAATGGTCTCTACATCATTAGTGCTTTCCTTGGCAATGTTCAGAACATTACTTGTGGTATTTTGCAAATCACCTCTAGTTCTCAATTTCGGACGATCTCGCTTCACATGCCCCTCCTTGTGATACTTAAAGCAATTCACACAACCATTGCACTCTCTCTAGGGCGACTTCAACCTGCTTTTATTTATGTTGTCAGACATCCGATTGTCATCTCTACATCTAATCACTGCCATCTTGTAACTTCCTTTGTCACTCCTTACAGAAATATGGATTTACCAAATTTGAGGTAATTGTAATACATGCCTTTAACAATAAATCAGTAAATTACTTCTATAACTTTTGTAGAGATGCCACCAACATCATGCCCTACTTTTCATCTGTCAAAGCCTCATCGACATTCTTCAAATCCATCGTAAGTTTGTCGAAGCCATGCAAGTGTGCTTTGATGGAAGTACTTTCAGTGAATCGAAATTGAACCATTCTCTTCAACATATTAAGGTCGTTATCCTAAAAATTTGCCCACAACACTGCGTATCCTTCTCCTCGGTTGCTTCTAGTAACACATTATTTAATAGATTTAACAGGCCCCTTCTCTATCAACTCTACTTTATTGGCATCTTTCATTATTTCTAGCAATTTATCTTTGCCATTGAACACCTTTGCTAAATTTGGGTTATTAATAGCACAGGCATCTTAGTTCTACACTACCCCAAGTTGTTCCTCTAGTTCTTCTCAATTTCTCCTTTGCTCCGGAAATAATGGTAACAACAAAATCTCCAAACAATAATTAGACCAGCAAAAATCCCAAAATTAAATCCAGAAAACCTCTCATATCAATTATTGTAAAGATAATGCAGAAGTTAAGTAATCTTGTAATACAAGTCAAACTCGAGAGAAATAATTACTAGAGAAATCAACGAGGAACAATCAAGACACCTGAGATTTACGTATATCAAAACAAGTATCAACAACTACTCCGCGGGGAGAGTGATCAACCTCCAAGAAATCCACTATGAATTCATATAGTAAAGAATTTACACGCTCGATCACGCAAGTGTTTACTAATTTCTAATCACACCCAAAGTAAATCATAAGTGTTATCCCCCATTCACTTACGGAAAACTCACAATAAGAAAATCCCAACGCCCCTCTCGTTTGCTCTAACATGTGCCCAAGTAAAATTATATTTCATATGTACACATAAGAGAGTTTTCCAAAGTAGGAAATTCCTTTCCTTTTCAAATTAAAAAACCAAAATCTGATCAAATTACAAAAATCATCCGAATTAAGTAACCTGCTTGAATCTAATTT